TTGCTTACTATGAGATGCCCTTTCAATGAAATTTTACCTCTTTAACAAGTGTCAAAATTTCTAAAACATTTATACCATTTGTATTGACTGCTTTCTGTTAATTATCACAGTGACAACCACTCCGTGTCGAGAAAGAATTTAACACTGCCATGTTATGGTGAGAGAAAATAAAAATTAAATTTTAATTTATATTACTGAGCTGAGCTTGGAGTCAGATTGAGATTCTCTCTCCTTCTCCCTCTGCCCCTCCCTCCACCCCACTCATGCTCTCTCTCACTCTCGGGAAAAAAAGAAAAAAAAGAAAAACACTTTTAAAAGTATTAATATTTACAATGCAGTAGAAATTACATCTGTCGCAACCCATTGAACTCATGATGGAAATTTTCAGGTGTCAATTATAAATGTTAGGAGTACATAGTGGCTCGCAATTATTGGGGGATGTATATGACAAAAATTACTGACATGTACCTATCAGCTTGCACCACTGGTTCAGGGGCACTTTGCCAGTAGCTCCCTTATTTTTCCCTTTATTCCCAGTACCTAGAACATGGGGAACTAAGTCACAGTAGATGGAGAGGAAAGAAGAGCATCACTTATTGGCTCTGGATGGTGTGCAGAAACCATAGGCATCAGTGTGAGATGGGGAAGAATCCTTTCTGTGAGACATTTTCTCTGGTCCAAGTCAATGCGGTGGAAATGACCCTTGGGAAGTCTCCCTTGGTAATGACCAGCAAGTGAGCAAAATCATAGGATACATGATCTTTCATTTGCCTTTAATAAAATCACTCAAAAATCAATCTGTTACAGAAGTCCTTGGGAGATCCTTATATTTAGTGTTTAACATTTTCTTTGGTGACTTTGTAACAGAAAAACTCAATGAAACTGGTATTGAACAGAACACGATAGTGTTCACCTTGAGGAATTGAGAGCCTTAAGTTAGCATTTTCTTCCTTACATCTGAGCTAGAGAAATTTCCTGGAGCTCTCATTTAGATCGAATGGCATTTGAACCATGGGATTATAAAATTGAGGTGGAGGACAATGAAATGGTTAGTATGCCTTATTCGGGTTCTATGGCTATTAATTTGGAAGAGAATTTGTATTAGGCAACAAATTAAGTGTGTTCTTCACATTTGCCAAAATCCTGCCATGATAACTTTTTAGCTCCAAAAGGTTGTTCACGCCTTAAGAGAAGAGCAAACATGCCAGCGAATTAATTAAGTCAAAACTCATGAGCTACACTGTTAGGGCCAACAGAAGATAGCCGAAGGGGTGTCGACATTGTTGTATTCCTTTTACGATTCCTAGTCAGTCACCCATCAGTTGTCCGAAGAATGTTTGCATCTTACATTTTGATTTGGGATTTCACAGAATGATAGTAGTCTGTGTCCAGAATGGATTTTAGAGCTCATCAGAACCCCCTTATTTTACAGAAAGAGGAAAGGCTGTTCCAAGAGAACTTGGACCTCAGTGTAGGATCCAGGCTCTTAATCCAGCCTTAATCCAGCTGCCCCTGGATTTCAGGCTGGGGTCCCTGAAGCACTGGCTTCACTGGACCAGGGGCTAAGTGAGGGAGATGAGGGGTGCACAGAAGGATCTCGAGGGCCCCAATCTCATGACAGCCAAAGCAGCCCCAGGCTTTTATGTTTGGGGCTTCTGTTTATCGATAAAGAAAAAACAAGTCTCCTGCACCATCATCTTATTCAGAAATTGTCAAAATATGTCACAGCTCACAGGGTTAATAGCAGGAACCAGCCCAGCGGAGGAAAGATGTGAAGTCGGGGCAGGGTGAGTGAGGTGGGGGTATCTGATTCCAAGCAAAGAGTCTCAGACTGACAGAGCTGACTGCAGACAGACGTGAAAAACGCACTGAGCCAGGTTGGAGCCTCCCAGGAATATTCCTTCCCATCTCCAAATCGGTGCCATCTTTGACAGCTACCCCAGAAGGGTGGCAGGAAGTCGCTCACACGAGTCTGAGCCCTTGCATGTGCCGCTCTCTCCTTGGCCCGTCCCCTGGGCTGGGTGCCCACGTCACTGCTGCCGTTCTGTCGTCCGGTCCTCACCCACACGTCCCCACCACCCGCTGCACGGGGCATTTCTCCTGTTCCTTCTCCCCGAGCATTTATGCACCCGTCCTCCTGATGCCTGTATGACCCCCCTCCTGAGAGCAGGGCGCCTTTACCCGCTCCTGCCCAGCACCAGCTCCCTGTGCGCCCCCCCCCCCGCGGTGCATGTTGCGGGGCCCCTCACTGAACACCTGTCCAGTGGGTTCAAGGATGCAGTTACCCAGGCCCTGGAAGGCGATCCATGAGAAGTGGAGGGCTCGCCTGGGCAAGAAGGGAGCTCCGGTAACTGCAGTCTTTACTGTATATTGTGAAAACGGTTTCACACGTAAAGGCTCAATATAGATTTCTCACACATTGTCAATTTAGGTTTGCAGTTGGCTTAATTTAGAACAGTGACTTTCAACTTTTTTTTTCCTCAAAACTTCTGAAGGATATAAAGGAAGCCCAGACGAGCATTCTGGATCTCATAACTGGAGAGAAAGGGGGTGGGGTGGGCTTGGAGCCCCCCATCCACCAGCGATGAATTCTGAGTTTCCAGGGCTTGTGTGTGTCAGGAGAACGCCCGAGCCACAGGTGAGACCCGTTGAGAGGTCGGCTTCAGGGAGCAGACCCCGTGGGGTTCACTTCACACTCGAGAGGTGACTGCTGGGGTGGGAAGAAGGGGGCCACAGCTGGACGGAGCCCCTATTTGGTACCTGCTGTGTGTTGACCCCTCCTTCTGACCAGCCAGACCCACTTGACCTGTGCAAAGGCAGCTAGAGTTGGTTTTCGCATATGGCACCGTCGGTCTCTGTGTATGTGTCTGTCCCCTCAAAAACCATGTTGTCCCCAGATTACCGAGACTCTTGGACTGGAAATCCGTGTCCCAGGTCCGATCACAGGGCCCTTCCCATCTTGGCACATGCACCCCCCCCCCTCCAGCAGTGGAGACACACCAGGGCCATTGCACCTTGGACAGGCATCACATTGAGCCCTCCCCATAGTCCTATGGTGGCCCATGAGCCCACCTCCCAGACAAAACTGAGACCGAGGGGTCCAGACCCCTGCCCTGGCCACCATTCAGCTGCTCTGCTGGGATTCGAATGCAGGTCTTTGTGACCTGAAACCTTTATGCTCGTTCACCGTGTCCTACACCACACAGAAGAGAAAGTGTGAATTTAACTGACCTACTTGCTCAGCGACAGTGACAAAAGGGAAGGCAGGAAACAGGGGTCTGGCTTGGCCATCTGGGCTGCCGTTGATGGCTGTGCGGTGGAGCCCCTCTGAGTGGGGTCCCCAGAATGACACGATGGGGCGGAGTCTCCGGCCGTGTGGGCAGCGCAGCCGGCAGCCGTCCGAGGTGCGACAGCTCATCAGCAAACCCCCGGCAGGAAAGGTCTGGCTGGACTGGTCCGAAGGCAGCGTTTCTTCTCCACATCTACCCTCTCATTAAGAGCCTGGCCACAGAGGCTTGGAAGAACGCCGCAGGAAGGCGGGCATTGTTAAAAGCGTTCACTGCATTCGGACACATTGCCTTGTGCATTTCTGCTGCTTCTCTGAACAATTCCTCCTTTGTGTTCCACTCTTTACTTTTGAGCTCGGTTGGGAAATGTCTGTTTTGTTTGGTTTGTTTTAATTTTTGTTCTTTTGTTTCATTTATTGTTTGGCATCTCAAATAAGCCAACCCCTGAAGGAATGGTCTCCTCGGCGCTCTTTTGGGCTCGTTAATTCTATGCTGCCAGCCTGCTGTCCTGATGAAGCCGTGGCTGAGGTTGAGGACAGGGATGCTGGCACTTGACTCTCAGGGTGTGATTATGTGCAGTGAGCACCGGGGACGCCAATGGCCAGTATTCACGTTAGGCATCCAGCAGCTATGTATTGGAGGAATGGTTCTGGAAGCAAAATAAAAAATTTAAAAAAAAAAGATTTTAATACTAAATAAATAAACAAAATTCACTGAAACTCCAACACAGCATAGTCCTTCCTTCCCGGCCCACCAGGGCTGAGATACTGAAGTTTAAAATCCGTTTCTACGTTAAATTAAAGGAAGGCAGCCCTGCTATGCAGCCGGTCCAGAGTTGCATACTCCTGTCTTTCTCCCGGGCATGGAGCGTTCCGTGACCTCAGAGAAACTGGAAGCTCACTCTACTTACACGCTTAATGTATCTATCCCTGAAGAGTTTGCTTGCTGGGTGTGCCAAATGGCTACAGTGTTCCCCCATCATTCGTATTTAAGTATGACGGAACTCTGGCTCTGATCCGTGCAAATCTCTGCACCTCATTCTTTCGGCTGCGGTAAAGCTCACTTTAAGAGCTCAGGGGGCCAGAGGACCTCCACCAAACACACTTTTGTTCTGGTTCTTTTTCATTTTTCTTGGCGGTGATCCTCCAAGATCACCTCTTCTTTCGACCAGATCTCCCTGTCTCGCATGTAAAAATGAAGGGGGGAAAAATAAATCAAATAAAAATGAAGGGGGAGCCAGATGCCAACAAAGAGTGCCATTAATACTTTAGATCAGATTTCAGATGTTCGTATCGAACATTTGTCAGAAGTTCCCAAACAGTATTAGCTATTCCTAAGTCTGTTTATATTTGGAAACGATTATTTTTTTTAAAGAACTCATTTTAAAACAACTTCAATGAAACCAAGGGTCAGGCTGGAAAGAATTGCGTCCACCACGTCATTCGTATGAATTTTTAAATGTGCTTGCCCATAGTCAGATGCAGGATAAAAATCCAAAAGGCTGATTTGTAATGTGATTTTTGAGGGAAAGCTTTGCTCTCGATCACATAGATGCCTACAGCGCCCTCCGAGTTAAAATATTTCTGGAGGGAGCCGTTGCGTTGGAACGGGTCTTGCTTGATTCCTGGCGCCCTGGATTCCAGCTTCCAGGTGAGTCAGGCAGGTTGGTGTAGAAACGTGCTGGCTGACTTGTCCTTGCCGTGTCTTGTCCAGTGAGCCTGCCCCTGGGCCCCAGCAGTCCCTGCAGCACGGACAGGGTCCCGCCGGTGCTGTGTGAGGCCGAGGAGACCGTGTCTGTCAGCAGCTGTTTCGTATCAGAAGACACAACTGAAGACTCTGGAGTGGTGAGCTCCCCCTCAGACATCATCTCCCTGGATTCCCAACACGACAGCATGAAATCCAAAGATAAGTGGGCCACAGACCAGGAAGACGGCAGTGACCAGGACCTGGCTGGAACCCCAGAACTGGGTCCCCACAAGAGCCCCACCTGGGAGAGGAACGGCTCTGGGAACTGGCATCCAAGGTGAGTCAGGGGACAGCTGGCGAGGGAGGCCCCATCCTAGCCTCGGGAGGAAGGTCTTCTGCTCACGGTGACCCAACCGACGCCATGGCAGGTGCCTTCCAAAGTTGCCACTCCCCGATGTGGGGGTTCACTATCCACAACCATGTCTTCAGGGTCTTTGTAGACATGTAGGTGTTTATAAGTAATACCTAAAGATTGGCTTTGTTAGTTTTTCCTTTTATGTAAACGGCACCATAGGCTCCGTGTCCTTTTTTGCTCAACATCGTGTTTTTAAGATCGATCCATGATGATACGTGTCTTGTGAGTTCATTTATTCTTCTGCTTTTTAATTAACGAGCACTTAGGTCATTCTGGTTTTCCACACCACTAGAAACAATGAGGAAGTTGGACATATGTCTCTGTTTACACATAGAGAGCTTTCTAGAGGAGAAATTATTAGACATTCAGAAAAACTCATCCCCAACTATGGACTGTTGGCAAATTGCTCTCCAAAATGATTGTCTGGTCTACAGGCCCTCCAGTGGTCTCTAATGGCCTGCCATCCACACCTGCACCAACACCTGCCATCAGAACACCCCTACTTTTCCACTCGTATGGCTGTCCCATGGCACTCCACGTGCTTTTTAATTTACAGTGTTCTGATTAGTAAGAATGAGCATCTTGTCCAATGTGTATTAACACTTTGATTTCCTTCTTGCATGACTTGCTATTCTATAGACTGCCCTTTTTAAAAATATTTTCTAAATTTTTTATTAAGAGAGAGAGCGCACAAGAGTGGGGAGAGGGACAGAGGGGGAGGCAGAGAGACAATCTGAAGCAGGCCCCACACCCAGCATGGAGTCCGACCCAGGGCTTGATCCTATGACCCTGAGATCATGACCTGCGCCAAAATCAAGAATCGGATGCTTAACAGAATGAGCCACCCAGGCACCGCCATAGACCTTAAAAAATAAACAAACAACAACAACAAAAAAAAACTGGGATGTTACTTTTTTTAAAAAAAATTCATTAATTTCTTCTTAATCTGTAAATCAGTTCTTTACTACACACAGTCTTTATGCCTTGAATGTAGCTTTGTTTTCTCTTGTTGCATAAAAATTGCTTTTTAATTTTAATATTCTTAAATGTGTCCCTTTTCTCCTGAATGTGTATAGTCTTTGCATATTTAAGAGACCTTTCTCCTACCCTGAAGGACTAAAGATTATCTGAATTTCTTATAAAAGTTTAGTGTTGTTTTCTCACATTTGGGCTTCTCAACTACCTGGGTTTAGTTTCGGGTGTGATGTGAAGAAGGAAATCTATTTTTTCCCACTGACTCCTAGCTCCGCTTTGGATTATGTACATGCCCCCAGCGCTCTGTTCCACACCACTGGCTTATCTGTCTGACATCGTCCCAGCACCACACTGCTGTTGTCTCTTTCTTCGTTCTTCTAAGAAGAAGGTTAATTCTCTGCAGCCCGTCAGTTTTTTTCTTCACCCTTTAAATAATTTTAAGAACTAGTCACACACACACAGTGTTATGGAAATAGTAACAAAAGTAGGATGATCCCAACAAATTCGCAAGTCGATCACCAAAACAAATGAATGCCTTTGTGTTTTTCATGTTTTGTTCCTACTTTGTCCATATGAGCACACAAATCTTTAGCTGGTTGATGTAATTGTAGTGTCAGTAATAATTTATTTTGATTTATTTTTACCTAAGGATTTATGAGCATTTGCCCATTTGTTAATTACACTCTAATAATTTTAACGTATAGCTCGTCAATCTTACGGACCATTTCAAGACCAAGTTTGTATTTTCATTTGACAGGAAATTAGAAAGTACCAGTTGCTCCCCCCCACACACACACACAAGGTCTGTTAGCCTGTGCTGTTTGCATCTATGAGAGCCGAGAAAAAATTATGGTATTTCCTTCTTCATCCATTAAACATTAAAAAAAAAAAAAATCACTTTCTACAGTAATCCCCAGGTCTGTTCTGTGAGTTTGAATGGAGATTGCACACCCCGAGCTCTACATCTGAAGCTAATCAGACATTTTTAATTCTGGCCCTTCGGGATGCTCATGTTAGTCATTGTTTGCTTTGCTGGCATTGACCCCTGATGTAAAATCTTGCTGACTTCTATCCAAATATGAGAGTTAATGTTGCCTGTGGCCACAGCCAGGATAATCATGGAGTCTTTGGAATTTGATGCTTTATCCCAGCAGGGAGTAGGGCATGTTTTTCTGCCCGATTCTCTGGGGTGCCATGGAATTTGAGAGTAGCAAGGCGGGGAGTGAGGGGGCTCTGACCGACCCACAGTGGGTCCCCCAGCACTAAGTAGCTGCCCAGTCTTTGCGAGTCCTCATGACTTTGCGGAGCCTTGTGCATTTGCTTATGCATGCACAGATGATGCCTCCTACCTCTCAGAGGTGTGGTAAGCCTATAAATGCCCAGTGTGCATGGCTCAGTACACATTGCCTGTGTATCAAATAGGATACATTGTCAAAGTTACTACTGTTAGTTTAGGAAATGGGGCACCCAGAATTCTCTGGGCTTCCAACAGCCCGGCAGTCTAACGAGGATGAAGATAGCCTCTGAGCCCCCCAGCCCTGCCTGTGCTATTCCACTGTCTGTCACAGAGTTGGGATCCCCCCCTGCCTAGGACTTTTCATGGAATGACCATAGTTAGTGCGATATTGTGATTCATAAGAAATACCTATTTGGTCATTCAAATGACCAAAACATATGCCTCATAAATATTGGTCTTCATCCACAGTTTCTGGCTCACAGCTCCCAAAAACCTTGGAATTTCCTGAGTGTTGAGAATGATAAAGGTCTTTTGTTATGTTAATGAGATGCCTTTTGGAAAGCACCCTTGGGTGGGGGCTGGTTGCCAAGGGAGCCAACGAAGTGACTAAAAGGGAGAACTTTCAGCTCCACTCCCTGACCATCCTGGGAGGGAAGAAGGGCTGGAGGTAAAAACAGCCAATGGCCAGGGACTTAGTCAATCATGATGATGCTATGAAGCCTCCATAAAACCCCCAAAGGACTGCATTGGAGAGCTTCTGGGTTGGTGAGCACGAGCAGGTTGGGGAGAGTGGCTTCTGGCTGGAGAAGCATGGATACCCTGACCGCACCTCTCTCCTTATGCACCTCTTTTTCTGGCTATTGATTCATATCCCTTCCGATGTCCTTTAAGAACCTGGTCAACCCAAGCCTTTCTCTGAGTTCTGTGAGTCATCCTGGCAAATTAATTGAACCTAAGGAGGAAGGTGTTGGATCCTCCGTTCTGTAGTGGTCGGTGGTCAGAAACAGGAGGCTGGGGTCTCAAGTGTGGGGGTGGGGAGCAGCCAGGTGGGCCTGAGCCCTCCGACCTATGGGTCGGATGGTGTCTCTGGGTCCATAGGGTCAGAAATGAGTTGAATTCTTGGACATCCTGCTGGAGTCAGAGAAATGCTTGCCATTGTACATAGGTCAATGCCCCCGACATCTGTATTGAGTCTGGGAACACCTGAGAAGTTTCTTTTGCTGGAGTGCTCTCCACTGACAAGTAGGACTGACTCAGAGACTGTGGTGTGGTGTATCACATGTTTATTTCCAATATGATTTTCCACCAAGCTCAGGGTGACGGAGAAGCTGGTAGAAAGCTGGGGTTGCCAACTCAAAGGCTCACAGGGGCCAGGCAGATAATGAGGGTGAGCGGCCACAGAGGGCAGCCCCAAACGCTCAGTCTTGTCTCGAGAAAGCAGCCTTGCACCCTCCCTCCAGACTTACCCGGAGGGATCGCAGACCCAGCATGGCCAGCTTTTAAGAGAAGCCAGAAATCCAAATTTTTATGTGAGGTCTCCCAAGTTTTAAATGTTGGCAATCAAGTCAGACATTCAGAGCCAAACCAAACACATCTGCATGCTGGGCGGGACCCGCTCCCAGATGTACACTCCACTGACTATTAAGGGGCACCCTGGCCCTTCGTCCTCTGCCTGCTTCTTTTCCAGCTTTGGAATATGGTAGTTGCTCAGGTTTCTCCTGTGAGAGAGCTCTTGAAAAATATCTTCACAGATATGTGTGGGGACTCCTTCTAGCTTCCTCTTCATGAAATATGAAAGCCTCTTACAAATTCTGCAGGAAAGCAGCCTGTTTCAATAGCCCCCCCTCTGTTCTGCCTCCAAATGTTCCTTGGGATAAGGCTCTGTTAAGCAGTTTTTGAAATGCTGTTCTGCGCATTCCATCATCCCACACTGTCATGCCGAAAGCCCTTACAAGTACTCACTTGTGTTGCATGGGTATGGAGAGGACACATCTCGCTGGATGAACGTGGTGCGTTCCGGTGCACTCTGTGGTCCTGTCTGCAGCCGTGGGTGCGCCGAGAGCATGCATGAGCGGCAAAAGGCAGGGAAGGCTGGAGGGGGCAGGGTAGGGTGGGGCCAGACCCGGGGGTGGGGGAGCCACAGGGACTGGGCCAGAGGTCCAGTCTGCAGAACTCGGGCGAGCCAGGCCAATTTCAGGGGTCCAGACCAGCCCGTGGTCAAGTTCAGTGGGATGAGAACCCAGGCTGCGGGGTTGGCAGCCCCGGATCAAGCTGAAATTGTGTGAGAGCAGAACCCACCTCTGTTCACAGAGCTGTGGCCTTGAGCTCAGCCTCTTGGACAGAAGACCCATTTCAGAACACTGCACAGGAGCATCCTGCGTTCAACAGGGTTTGAGAGAAACAGTAAGGTAGAGCAGGTTTCCTGACGTTCTGCACCCCCGGGGTGGGGGGAGGGGGGCAGGCAGGGCAAACACAGGCCTGGCACCAGCACTCACTCAGCACTTTGTATGTGCCCCTGAAGCACGTACCTCACCTCTTCTCCAAGGCGATGGCACCCCTGTTCTCAGTGCCGACTGCTGGTCCCCGGATCCACCCTCCTGGCTCTGCCCTGTGGGATCCTGGTACCTAGTTTCTGGGGTAAGAAAGGATGTTCTTCTTGTGTGGCCAACAGCAATGATTGGGGCACGACCGTGGCCGTGAGACCAGTCCG